TTGCGCTTCCTGGAGCTGGTGTTGCATGGTATGCTGGAGAAGCTCTGCTGCATGGTTGTCCCTGTACTGGTGCCAGTGGTGGCAGGTGTCTAGGAACTGGCCCCAACTGGGGGTCCAAGCCATTTGGACTGGATGTCCTTGACGGCGGCCATGAACCCTTTGGCGGGCCCTCCTGGTTGAGTGGGTGGCTGCTGGAGTGCCAGTCTAAAGCGAGCTTGAAGTTGTTCCCAGTACGCAGCCTTTCCTTTTTTCCAAGTGCCTCCTGGCTTTGGAGCAACAAGGGGTTTTATCATCACCCTGAAATTTGCTCCGCGTCCTTGGGCAGCCCAAGGATGTTCTTGTAGAAGATATTGTTCAGTGATGGAGATCCAATCCGTCCAGTGTTGTGCCTTGTCATGGACGGAAGTCAATGTCCGGGGTGGCTGGGAGTGCAGGAAAGTATTGGACCTGCCTGTATTCTTTTGTGGCTGCTTCAATGTCCAGGTGTAGCGTCAGCAGAGCATGCGGTCTCCAGGGAACAGCCCACTCAGTGGTCAAAGCAGTTGTGCTGGAAAGTGAGGTGTGGATCAAGCTATAGTCAATGACATTGCCAGAGAGGACACTTTGGTCAGGTGCCAGGATGTCAAAGTGGAACTTGGACGGGAGTACTGTACTCGAGATAGCACTTGGTGTGTTTTGCCAATCCCCAATCAGGATGTAGGGATGGTTTGTAGCTTGCAGTAATGCCATGAGCCTGGCGAGGATTGTGGCATTGGTCTCACTTTGGATGCTCTCATTGGCGAAGGTAGACACCCGCTACCAGAATTGTTTGCTCCGTGGCCTGCCATACTTGGTATCGGTCCGCACCCTTGGTTTGTGAAGTCTTCAACTGGTGTAAGCCCGCAGGATGGGTCTCCCAAGATCAGGATGCCTCCATGGGTGTCTGTGTTGTCTTCATTGGGCCAAGCAGGGACTCCAAATGCAGTTCGTCCCCTGATCGCGTAGTATTGGCAGGTCTGCTCATGTTTTTGTGGCTCCAGGTGTGTTTCCACAAAGATGTATATAGTGAACTTCAGACAGGTAGAATATTAAGGTGAATTGGTAACACATAGAATAATTTTTAGAAGCCAACAGATAGAATTGTTCAGTTTTTTGAAGCCAGCAGATAGAATATTCAGCATACCTCAGATTCACTGCGCTACCTTTTCCCACCCATGACATGTGTTTCTTCAACTTCTCATCCAACCCTATCCAACCAATATTCTAAGTGTTTCCCCAAAAAGATATAGAATAATGACCTAATGCCCCGGGGGCATTAGGTAATATTCTAAGTGACTGCAGGCCACTATACTTCACTTTTCCTCGTCCAGTACCAGTCGATGACTTGCCTTCCAAAGGTGGTGACATTCGCATAGTGCAACTGGTTGTGAGCCTGTTCGAGGCGAGGTCTTTTCTCTGGACTGGGGTGAAGTGGTGGATCAAAATCTGGTTCTTCTGCCGGTGGAAGCATCTGGATGACTTGTTGGGTAGTTCTGAACGCGTCGATGTGAACTGCCCAGATTTTTGTCACCTGGCTGGCCGGCTGTGGCGTAAGGTGTGCCAGATGGATTGGAGGTTTGCCATCGTCTGCCAGCCACATGAGATCCCTGTAGATGAGGATCGCGAAATAGTGGCCAGATTCATGATTGGGTCCTCTATGGCAGATCAGGGCCGCCGGGACAAATTCGGTGGAGGCTCTTGCAAATCCGTCCAGTGATCTGGGTACAGTGAAGGTCCCATATGGATTCAGTACTTTCTTGCGCTTGGTTGCAACCCCGTCGATGGTGGTGTTCCTGGCGATGTGTGTAACCAGGATGGGCTTGTCATCCATGAGGTATTGTCCCAAGCCTTCATTGGCCCATCCATTCAACAGCGTCTGCAGCATGGTGTTGTCTGGCCAGTCATCTGGATAGTCCACAAGGAGGGGTAGCTGAACATGGTCGGCCAGGCAGCCCCCGGGTTTGATCTCGGCGTATCGATAGTGGAAGGCTCTGCTTTGTGAGAGGTGCCACAGAGTGTTCACAAAATGATTTGCATCTCCTTGTACATTCAGATCGTGCTTCTTCCATAACCTTTGCATTCCTGGTAGTTCTTGGGTGTCTACTGCTTCAGCCAGTTCGAGAGATTCTTGAACCGCTGCATGCAAAGTGCCCCAGGGTTCAGTGCGCGTTTCTTGGAGGAGCGCACACGTCCATGTAAAAACTCGCCATGGTGCGTTTGCAAAGCACCGTGAGCTTGGATTCCCCACAGTCATGGAGAGGTTCTGTAGTATGCACTCTGTTGTTGAGGCATATGTGCTCTGCACCCTCAACTTCGTCAAGTTTAGTGCAGGACTCTTCACTGGCAGCTTGGCTCCTCCTTTAATGGAGATCACTTCCGCTCCGGGTGCTCCCCGTAGAGGCTGTGCCCAGTCTTTTCAGTTGCCCTAGTGCCATGGTATGAACACATAAGCCAAAGATCCACATCTGACTCCGGAGGTCATACGTGGATGGTGTGGCATCCAGTGTGAAAGCCCGCCCACTGTGTTGCTGGAGGGGGGTGACTTCCAAGCCTGCCCAGCATCCATGTCCTTGGTAGGGATGCGCCTGAGCACGGGCTTCTTGGGCTCGAGGAATCCAACCATGTGCCCATAAGGGTTCTTCTTCTTGGCTGGTCAGGCGATTCATCCACTCTGGCGGCATTGGGTCATGTTTCTGGTTTTTGTGCCATTTGCATAACCATAGTATATGCTTTGGTGTTCGGCTCTGTGGCTCACCAACACGGGCTTGTCATCCATGAGGTATTGCCCCAGTCCTGTGTTCGCCCACCCGTTGAAGAGGTCCTGAAGGCTTGTGGTCTCTGGCCAGTTGTCAGGATATGGGACCAGGATGGGCTGTTGGATGTGGTCTGTGAGATAGCCACCAGGTTGGATCTCAGCAAATCGATAGTGAAATGCCCTTGATTGTGACAAGTTCCACAATGTGTTGACAAAGTGGTTGGCATCTCCTTCGATGTTGAGATCGTGTTTCTTCCACAGTGGCTTCAAATCTGGGAGTTGCTGGATATCAACCGGCTCTGCGAGCTCCAAGGACTCTTGAACAGCTTCCCTGAGGGTGTTGGTCTCCTGTAACAGGGCGCACGTCCAGGTGAACGCTCTCCATGGGGCGTTGGCAAAACACCGTGCACTTGGATTTCCCACAGCCATTGTGAGATTCTGGAGGATGCACTCAGTTGTGGAGGCATACGATGGGTCCATCTTGCCATCGTGGTTGGTTTTGGTCGCACCAGGAGAAGTTGGTTTGCCTCCTCCTTGGACGCTCACCACTTCTGGTCCAGGTGCACCCAGCAGCTGCCCATGCACCGAAGCCGGTAAGGTAAAATCTTCAAAAAGGTCAAACCTGTGAAGGTCAGGATTGTGTGGAATCTCAAATGTTGCAAGTTGTTTGAGAAGTCCCCAAAAGGGTTCTGAGCTTGTACTGCTTGAGACAGGTGTGAATGTGTCTGTTCCCCTGCACATTGTGTCACCTGTTTGTCCCCATACGCCGAGTTTGAGGCAGCGCGGCAATCCCCATGTTTTGGTGCCCAATCAACTTCTTCCCAGGGTGTTGGCACCTCAACTCCGGGGTAACTTTTGACTTTTTTGTGAGTAGTGTTACCCACACTCCTCTCCCGACAGCGGAGTTGGTGCATCTGTTTTCCTTCGCTTGTTTGGATCATCCACGTCAGCCCCTGGTCGCTTGAGGAGGCCGTGGAGCTGGTTGCGCTGCTCGGCAGTCAACTCAATGCCCAAACTTGTGACGAAGGTCTCAACTGCCATGGGGATGGGAAGTTCTGGGTCCCGCAGGTCCAGATCAGCCGGTGGCGGTGTTTTGTTGACCGCCTGCATGTATTGCTCTGAGAGTGTCTTGAGCTTCTTCTGACCCTCTGTGAGCTTTGTTTGATGCCCTTGCATGTCCTGTAGCATGCTGGCATATTGGCTTTTGACTTGATCCAGTCGTGTTTGGAGTTGCGCTTTCTTCATGGATATCGTCTTGAGCTCAGTAACTTGTGTCTTGAGTTTCTGAGCCAAGGCCTTGATGGGCTGCTGCATCTTGTTGACCACATCTTGGACGGCTTGTGGAAGCTCCTTGAGGTGGGTCTGAAGGATTGCTTCCAGGCTTGGTTCTTCTTGTGGTGGCGGGCCAAAGGCCAGGGTTTGCAACTTGGACTGGATGTCAGTGGGAATGACTTCCCAAGTGCTGGCAAGGAGCTCACTGGCTGTCTGGTTTGGCATGCTCTTCTTGAGTGGCTTGAGGCGATGTAGCCCTGGCGGCTTGTCAAGGAGCTCGTTTGGACTCGCTTGCCAACTTTCATTGCTGGTGCGGTGAGGTCGTCCTTGACCCTTGCCTTTTCCAATGCCTGCTCTTGTAGATGGCCACCAACTGCCACATTTGCGGCATCTTGTATCCGGGCGTAGCTTGTCACTTGCCGAGACCTTCAGTGGGCCTTGAGATAACACACCTTGAGGGCAGGGATCAGGGCCCGCTCTAAGATCTGGTGCCAAGGGTGAGTTCAAAAGCGAGGTTGGTGAGCACGGCTATTGCGAGCAAAGAGTGTTTGGTAATCGAGGAGCTCAAAGAACTGGTCGATGTGGTTCTGCCCGCTATGTTCGATAGGGGAGTACCTCACTAGCAGGTCTTCCTTGGCTGCCTGCTTGGACCACTCGTGGCTTGAGCCAAAATGGCTACGGATGTATGTATGTATGTATGTATGTATGTATGTATGTATGTATGTATGTATGTATGTATGTAATGTAATGTAATGTAATGTAATGTAATGTAATGTAATGTATGTAGGTATGTATGTATGTATGTATTTTGTTTTTACTTATTATCTATGTTATGTTATACTGTTATACTATTATATTGTTAATAATGTTGTATATATACATATATACATGTGACTACAAAAGGTTTCCGGCACCATGTTCAACATTGAAATATTCGAAGGATTTGGCGCATGGCAGTGGCTTCACCACGTCGATCCTGGAAGCCAAGTAAGAAGCTCTGGGAGAAATGCCGACACCTGAACCGACTTGAATACAAATGAGTAAGCCAAGCCTTGATTTCCCTGAAGATGGCTACTGCCTGTTCTGCAGTTGCCAAAGCCTGGAGCTACCCCAAGACCCACCACACTAGCAAACCTCGTGTTTGTGCTCCAAGACCCTAGACCAACATCTGAAGAGAAAGGCCTCCTGGTACTCTTGGAGCTGCATCTGAACTTGCCTCATGGTGTCCATGAAACATTCTGAGTTGTGAACAATGCATATACTGCTTTGGAAATCATGAGTGTACAATCTACTAGCACAAGCCATTTTTTTGCAAAGGCCGGTTCTGGTGGGCAGTTGGCGTGCCGCTTTTGTGGGCCACATGGATCAAAGACATCTAAATATACTATTGACAAACAATTCGCGGAAACAGCGCTTGGTGCGCATAGGCCGATTCCTGGCTGATCTCAGCTTTTCCATGTAGATGTGAGAGGAGATGGGGCAAAACACTTTCAGCGTCGTCTGCCAAAATGATTTGCTGATTTCTATATATACACAGTATATAGTCTGGTCCTGATTTGGAGATGTCAAACATGTAGGCATGTTCACCGCTTCACAGCCGTCCTACAAACTGCTGGTACTCACACTGCGCTTGCGCCGCCGCTTGCGATGTGGGCGTTTCCGGTGGGTCCTCAGAGCCGAAGACGGAGGCATTGCACAAGCGAATCAGCCTCTAATCGCTGTTTGTTTTTAGGCACTTCTTCAAACAAAAATTGTGGCGAATGCAAATTCAAAGCTGTCCTTGAGCTTGAACTGCTTCTCTTGCCCTATCAGTAGATAGGCCCAAACAACCCCCCTGCTGCTTGTGACAAACGACCCCCCTAATCCAGCTTAATCCACAAGCCAAATCAAGCCAACAAATTACAAGAAATTCATATATCCGCCTTGCCTTGGCTTCTTTTGCCTTTGCCATCTTCGCCTCTTTTTCCTGCTGGTCACCTTCACCACCTGGCCGGGTGTCGGAGCCAGGCGCTCTCATCCTCTCACAGCATGAGAAGATCTGAGAAAATATAATAGGAAAACTGAAAAAATGACTCACGATTGAAAAAGAACACACGTTTAAACAATAATAAGGTAAATCTCCACATTGCGCAACTGGTTGCTTTTCTATTTAGAAGTGCAGGTGTCAAAGCAAAACTAACAAAGGTGGTTTGGATGGGGTCTTGACTGGAGACACTCTGCGATATCTACAGTACTTCTTCCAAAGGATGACCCGGGGCCTTTCTTCAAATCGTCTTTCTTGGCACTCTCTTCGCCACTGCTCTCAGCCTCGTTGTCAGCTTGCTTCTCCGACTCCTTCTCTGATTCCTTGTCGGACTCCTTCTCAGATTCTTTCTCAGATTCCTTCTCCGATTCCTTCTCCGATGCCTCAATTATTTCTGTTGCGGTGCCGTCTCCGCCTCCATCCTTCTCAGGTACCCAGCCCTTGGACTTGGCTATCTCCCGCACGTTCTCCTTGGCATACTTCCCAAACATGAGTGAAATTCAGAGAAAAATGTGAGATGCAAACGGGGAGAGGATGCTGCGGCCTCAATACAAATGCAAGTTTCGGCAGGTGAACATCCAAGCGTATTGTTTTGCGCCTTCTGTACAGAGCGACATGGCAAAGCGTGTCCGCGCGGGCGTGGTTGTGTCCACTGCCTTCTCCTGTACATGTTGATTAAAGGACATTAAGGTACATATGGACTTGAGTCGGACTTGACCCTGGCCGTCGCAAGGAATGTTTCACATCCATGCTTGTGGGAGGTCACTCTTGGCAAGTCTGTAAGTCTGCACCCACCGAACAAAATGAAGCAATCTGTGGAGTCATCAGCCGATGTCCTGTAGTACTGGTACAAGGCCAGTCTTCTGACGCTGGGCGATTTTTGCTGAATGCTGACCAAGGCACAAGCGATTTCAGCAAAGTTGTGTTATTTGCGGAGCTCGCCAGCCTTTGCAAAGCTTTTTCGGATGCGGAGCTCACCAAGCTTTCCAAAAGCAGAGTCATCTGAGGATCTGAGAGCACCTGGCACGAATAAGCTTCTATCAGTTTTTGTGTATTCTTGGCTATCCAATGAGCAACTTGCTTGTCCAATGGTCTAAAAAAAGATGCCCTTAGAGATACATTCTGAAGGCTGGGTCCAGAGAGGTGGGAAAATGTGACAAGGCAAGAAGAGCACTCAGTGACTTAGTGATTTGGTGGCTTACTGAATTTGATACAAAGGCCACTATGGGCCCTGATTTCTCTGCAGAGGCTGCTCAATTGCTTTGACCCCATATCTGGTGCCCCCGACTTAATTAACTAAACGCATGGCTTGTCACGGGCTAGGCACGCATGAGGATAAAAAAGAAGAGGTGAGATTCAATAAATCAAATGGTATAAACGAAAGGAAATGAGACAATGACGCGAGAAAAAAAAACTGATGGATACTTCGCCTGGGTCAGAGCATCGCTGTTCTCAACCTCTATGTCCTCATTGGCTGAAGCAGTCCTGAGCAGTGCAAGACTTGCAGCAGGAGCTCCAGGATTGCCCAACTCAAATGCTGCGCAATTCCTAGGTCCCGCCTCAGCTGGTTCTTGAAATTCTCCAGGGCGGTCAATTGCGATAAAGAATGCACCCTGACGGCTGCTTGATGCCTTGCAAATAGCTTCTCTATCTTGCTCCAGCGCTGCGAATCCTAGGCAAGTCCAGTCTCCCAAGACCATGACCTGCTTGTGGAAAAAGCAAAAACTTGAACTTGTTTCAGCACAAATGTGGGTGAAGCAGTCCTCTTCTGCATGTTTTGCCTCCAAGGCTGCATTCTCCGCCTTAAGAGCTTCCACCTCCCTTTTGATCGTCATGCGCTCTGTCTTCCAATCTCCAAGCTCCTTCATTGAAGCCTCAAGCTCCTCTTGCAAAAGTGAAGTTTTGCTTCGGGAAGACTCGAACTCCTTCTTGAGGAGATCTCCTAGGCTTTCTGTTTGGCCCGCTGTGTGCACATGCACGGGAAAAACACATATTCACCTATTGGTGAGCGCAATTCTTGATTGTAAAGATTGACCACATAAATTTATATATATATATGTTCAACCAAAGAATTAACAAAGGTTGTATAATGCAGACGCTGGATTAATAACCCCCCTCAAGGTGATTCCTGTCTTTTCTTTTAATTGGGGGTGGTCAATCAGGAGAGGCCCCATAGACTAAATCTCGTCATGAGAATGGGTCCCATAGACTAAATCTCTCCGTGAGGAGGCATCCCATAGACTAAATCTCCTCATGAGGAGGGATCCCATAGACTATATAGATCTCTTCATGAAAACGGGTTCCATTCCCATAGACTAAATCTCTCTTCAAACTTGGAACGGGATGGAGTGAGAGTGCTGCATGAGCATAAAGTAAATGAGGATGCAAATGAGGAAGGATGAGGATTGGAAAGAATCGTAAGAACATGAAGGCAAGGACCTATGTGGTGGAGATCTCTATGAGGAAGGATCAGGAGAAGCTAGGAAGGTGGAGGAGAAAGATTGGGATGTGCTTACTGGAAACGAAAAGTAGAGGCCTGTGGCAAGTTTATTGGCTGGCGGGTCTGTCTTTCCATGTCTTTCCCACATGTGAGGGGACCAAACTAATTGGGGTGGTTATGACTAGAGGGATTATGGTCCTAGTAGCGTCCTTGCTCGAAGGGATGCCAGGAGCCCCTAGTAGTGTCCTCGCTGGACCCGCTTCACTCTCCATCCCTTCCTAGCAACCTTTCTGGTGCCACGGGGCTGTGGGTCTTCACTTCTGACAGCTGTTTCTGCAGAGCCTCCACTTCTGTCTTCGCCGCCTTCGCCTAGCCAAGCTAAATGTGTTAAGACGCCATACCCAGTCAAGCGTGCCAAAAAAGGGGAATGATGGACAGTTGGCAAACTATGTGGACAAATTGAATGTTGCACCAATAATGATCCAACAGTGGCTGAAATGCGGGTAGATAAACAAAACGACGCCTCAGCTTCTTGTCTTTGCAACCTGCCCTTTACAAGTTCGTTCTCACTTTGCAGCCGCAATGTTTTCGTCTCAACGTCTGTGAGCTGGTCCCGCACCAAATCCTGCAACGAAGACGTTGAGCTAAAGTGCCTAAAGAGACCCACACCAGAGTTGAGCCAAAGTGCACGTATAGTGATCAGACCAAAACAGTCACCCCACGAAGAGCTGTTATACAAACATACCAAAACGTCCGTCACACAATGCACATGAGCCATTGATGCCTTGTGCCGTCAAGACCTCCCCGCCCAAGCGGCAAATAGGGATGTTTGAGCACCCCAAACAGGAGGGTCTCTCGCATCGGCACCAAGCACTTTCCATAGGTTACGGTTACTGCCGTATCGTGTATCCTCACAAGCTACAGTATCCTTTTCGGGTCCTCGGCCTGCTGTGCTGCATGGACTTGCGCCTCCAGCTGTGCCTCTGTTCAAACTTACTCTTGGGTCCCACTCAGCAACTGCAAACCAATTCTATTCGGTTTCCACGCCCCTCCAACCACAAGAATCCATGGCAAGTGACAATACGAGCTTGCTCTAAAGCTTGCTCTGCCTCCCGACTTTTGGCACCATCCTCAACTGCAAACACACTTCCAGAGGTATCTGAAACTGCCACATCCAAGACAAATGAGCCAGCTAATAGCCAATAAGTGCACATCTATATTATAACTGACAAACCTAGGCACCGTAGGGCCTTCACGCGCCTTTTCTCTCCATGGCGTGCGAAAGCGGTAAAAAGCCACAGGTGGAACCACGGCCCCTACGATTTGGGCCCCACGTCCGAGGTTCGATCGGGATCAACACCACATGTTTCCATGGATGACGTTTCACAGCTCCCAACTTTCTCTTTGATCCCGATCCTTCGGATCTGTGAGCTGCTCTGGCCGGACTTTCGAGCTTCAGCCCTCCGGGCCATCTGATCCTCCGTGGGCCTAATGCTGAACAAGCCGCTGCGGATCATCTCATGCAAAGCTACGTTCGATCCGTGGACCTTGGTTAGTCCGTCTGCTGGCATTGCCAGGTGATCTACCCACTTCACTGAGCCGCCCAGCTGCTTGAGGTCTTGCTTGATGATCTGGATCTCTATGGCGGTTCTTCGATCTTGCCCTCCAGTTCCGTCCTTGGCGAGGTGATCGTACAATGATTTCGCATCGACCACCGCAAGGGACTCCTTCAACCCCACATCGCTCATCTCGG